TAAACGCAGCAACTCTCTCCAGAAATATTATTAGCAATAGCTGAAATATGTTGTAATTTTTTTCTATGCCATGTATCACATAGGCACTATATATAATATCACTCAATTTATCTTCAAAATGACACTATTATCAGGATACTATTATCTCTCTTTTGAAGAATAGGATACTCACCTGAAATACTTTGTCTAAATACACAGTGCTAAAATGTGGTGATATTAGGAGTCAATTTTGGTAAATTTATATTTTTAACTTCTAAAATATGCCCAAGAATATTGTGGAAATCAAGCATCCACAGTTAATTAAAAACAAAAACAAAAACAAAACAAACCTCTAGCCTAGGCTGTGTTTTCAAGACTGATTCCCTTCTATTCTTTTAAGATTTCTAAAACCATCTGTGAAAAGCCTAGGCTTTGTCTATATGTTTTTCCCCCAGGCCTTAGGTAAGAACTAAAACAAACTCTCTATAGTTGAGTTTTATTTTTTTAAGGAAATGCAGCTACATTCACAATTTAAAAATCAATTTTCACAAAATCATACTCAGCAAAAAATAAATTAACCTTGGTAATTACACTTATTTTTCTTCTATTTAAGAAAGTAGAGACTAAAGGAAAAAAATGACTAAATTTTGTGTTTAAAACTCACTGGACACTTTTGTTTCAATGGCTGTAGTATGGTCAACTCATTTTCTATGTATTAATGTGAAATCTCTTTTGGACAAGGCTACATATATCTTTACAGTTTGTGCTGGCTTTTAGGCATTTAGTCAATGCTTGGGCCTCGGAAGAGTGTGGTGTGTGAACACGTGTGAATATACATTTACTATCCTCTTTTCTTGATGACAAAGTTGGTGGTTTTGAGCTTGTGTCTGAAATAATTTTATTTCCATTACATTCTATAAAGAACTCTCTCAAAATAAATTTTCTACACGTTATGTATGACTCTTTATATGACCTGATTTCACATCAGCAAATTCATATTAGAAAATTGTGAGACCTCTTTTACTACCACCTCTTTCCTGCAGCCCTACTTGATAATAAGCAATTCACGGAGGTATTCTTAGGAATCCCCATGTTTACAGCCATTGTGGATTTGTCTATCCATAAGAGCAACTCCTCTTTGGCCTTCCTATCTGGTGAAATATATTCATCTTAAATTTAAACAGTTCTTGAATTTAAGATATACACTATTTTGAGGCCAGGCATGGTGGCACATATGTGTAAATCCAAGCTACTTGGGCCGCTGAATGAGGAGGCTCATAAATTTGAAGCCAGTGACACCTTGTCTCAACATTTTAAAAAGCGCTATAGCTGTAGCTCAGTACTCATGTGCTTGTGTGAGGCCCTGGTTGTAATCTCCAGTAACAACAACAACAAATTTTAAAAAAGAATACTGTTTGAAATGTTTTCCACAAAAAGAGATAAGGGAGACTTACCCTTGGGTGAATATATATTACCATTCAGAGAATTAAAAGTTTGGAAGCAAGTAGCAGAGTAATTTGCTCTCAAAGCTTACTCACTTTATCATTTTCTTCAAGGAGTTTGATGACATGATTAGGGTCCATCGGCTTGAAAACACCCTAAAAACATACAATTTTTAGTATTCTACATCAGGAGAATTTAAGAAATCCTACCAAGCACACTATTTTTAGGATATTTTTCCTCAGTAACTTAAAAATACCTACAACAATAACAGATGGGAGAATGCAAAAGATGAGACCTTATAAGAAGGTGAATGAATTTTGGAGGAAAAAAACCACCCTCCTGAATTCTAGTATTATCTTATAATCTTAATGTTTTTAAATTTAAACAGTCCTAAAAGAGCCAAAAGAGCATGTGGAATAATGGTACTTGTGTGCTGTGGAAAATAAAATTATACAATATTGTGCATGTGTGCGCATTAGACCGAGCTTGGTTATGCGAGTATATGATACGGCTACGGCATTCTTTTGTTCATCCACGGTAGAAAACACGAACCTCAGAAGTCACATGTCACGTCTCAAGGATTTTGTGGGCCCAGCCTGTCACTGACTCAGCTCAGTTCCCATCTGCTACTGGGTTGTGCACGTCACCGCCACTGCCCCTGCCTCTACTCTCACACCCTTCAGCACCGTCCTCTATGGCTGAAATAATCAAACTCAATGCTGAACACCACCCGGCCAAGCCAGTCAAAGACTCCCTGCTCATGCTTCTTAGCTCCTTTGCTTCACAAGGTGGCTGCAATCCGAGTCCCCTTCCTGGTTAACTCCCACAGCACCTTCAGGATGAGGCTCAGATGTGCCCTCCCAAAGCGATGCAAGGCGAAGGACGCCTTTCCTCTGTGCTCTCCTGGGCCTTGAACACACACACCCATCATGATTCCTGTCGCCTGGTTAGGAAAGGCTCTAGGACTCACCCTCCCACTACTCCCTGCCCTGAGTTTGCCTGAGGGCACAGACTCTTGGTTCAGGCATCCCTGGCACATGGCACATGGCATAGAGTATTGTCAGCGGTTTAGTAAGTGCTGATAACATGCACCCAGGAAGTCCTCTCATTGTAAGGGTACTTGTGGGTAAGTGGCAAAGGAAGCAGGAGGCGCTTCATCCAGTTTAAGTATTTAGGATAATACAGAAATCTCTGAATTTTTAAATGCAATTTTGGCTATATGTATGGGGAAGATTAACACTTTAGATTAATACTGCACTTTCTTTGTAATTCAAATATTATGCTAATGTTGCTTAGTCCCAGTGTAGGACTTAAGCTGTCCTAATTTCCTTTTTCTGGTCCTGCTTTCATAGTTATGTCTATTTTTAAAAGACTTTGTAAAGATGATGTTACTATGATATAAAATATTCAAAATTGAAAAAATCCATATCATCCCTACTATCCATCCATATATCTATTTTGTGTATTTTCTGGTTTTGTTTGCATGCACAAATACATAATTTCACTTAGCACTAATATTACCACTGCATTTCCTATATTTAAAATCTACAGCATATCTATAATGTACACCTTCCCATATACCTATGTAGGCATTATTGCATGACATATGGAGTTTATAATCTCCTTGTCTTTTGCAATTACAAACTCATATATTCTCCTATCAAGAAATTTCTTTCAAAAAGTTTTCTGTTAAACAATCATAACTTTAAATATGTAGAATGAGAACTTTATTTTTTATTTTTTTATTTTTTATTTTTTTTTGGTTTTTCTCCGGTACCGGGAACCGAACTCACGACCTTGCACTTGCCAGGCAGGCGCTTTTGCCGCTGAGCTAAATCCCCAGCCCTAGAATGAGAACTTTAAATATGCAGTATGAGAATGAGGTTAGTTACTAAAATGATTTAAGAATAAAAGAAGGACATACTAAACATATGTTTATACTTGGTATTATAGTTACCATTGTTATGTACTATTGTTAAACAGAATTTTGCTCTAACTCTTTTGAGAGGAGAGCTAGAGGGGAAATAGCTGGGTTGAATGGAATTTCTATTTTTAGGTTCTTGAGGTGTCATCATACTGATTTCCATAGTGCTTATACTAGTTTACAACTACCAACAATTTAGAAGGGTTCCTTTTTCCCCATAGCCCCTCCAGCATTTGTTATTATTTGATTTCTTGATGATGGCTCTCCTTTCAGGAGTAAGATGGAATCTCAGTGTTATTTTAATTTGTACTTCTCTAATGGCCAGAGATACTGAACAATTTTTCTAGTGTTCATTGGCCATTTGTACTCCTTCCTTTCAGTTGCCCAGTTTTTTTTATTGGATCTTTAATTTGAGGAATCTAGTATTTTGAGTTTTTATATATTCTAGGTATTAGTTCTCTGTCTTAGGTGTAGCTGGCAAAAAATTCTTTCCCAGTCTGTAGGCTGTCCCTTCACTTTGTTGGCAGTTTCCTCTGCTGTACATAAACCTTTTAATTTAATATAAATACATTTGTTGATTCTTAATATTATTTCTTGTGCAATGAGGGTTTGGTTCAGAAAGTCTTTGCTTATTCCTATGTTTTCAACGGTTTTATCTATTTTACTTTCCAGCAGATTGTTTCTGTTTTAACGTTTAGATCTTCTATACATTTTGATTTCAGTTTAGTACATGGTGAGAGATACAGTTCTAGATTCAGTCTTCTGCACGTCAGTAGCCAGTTTTCCCAGCACCATGTGCTAGAGGCTATCTTTCCTCCAGCATGTGATTCTGGCCTGTGTCAAAGATTAGACAGCTGAATGTGGCTGGAGTTGTTTCTGCATCTTCTATTCTGTTCCACTGACTCACAAGTCTGTTTTTGTGCCAGCAGCATCAGTTGCCTATTCTCTTTTCCTTCTGTGTTCTCAGATTATGCACACAGACACAGTGGGTGTTTATTTTATCATTTTCTGCAATATTTACTCTTAAGAGTTAGATAATTATATTGAAAAGTCAATGCAGGATTTCCTTTTTAATACCTGCCTGTATTATCAGACTCCCCCCAATAAACAGATATCACTTTTGATAAGAAACAGGGAATAGTAAAGATTAACGCATAGATTCTTTTTGGATTTATCTTGCATTATCACTTCATGTTGATCTGTGTCTTATCTGCGTGATATATCTTTAAAGAGTTCTTCCTCCCCATATCTTCCTTTGCCTTTTCCTGCTTCTGCAAATATTTCTTAGCAGGTTCTGTTTCAGGAAATATGCTAGGTACAGTGCAGCACAATTCTCTCAGATCCGGTAGGTGTCGATATGCAGTGAAATTTTACAGAAGTCCTTGTGTGTGATACTGAAGATCTTGCAAAACCACTGAATAGCTGAGAGACTAAAAATATAAATGAAAATGTGACAAAAGAACACTGGCCAACGTCTCTGCAGCCACCAGCATGGGATGCCCAGTCACAACCTACACAGCAATTGGCCCAGAAAAGTCAATATTTGGTCAATAACTTTCAGCTTCCCCCCCGCACCTTTGTGTGTGTGTGTGTGTGTGTGTGTGTGTGTGTGTGTGTGTATGTGGGGACCAACCTGAGAAAGTCAAACAAACGACTTAAAGATTCCAGTCAGAGAACAATAGGTCCCACTCTCTCACTATTAATCTTCCTTAGCTGCCTCCGTGTCTGCCCAAAGCAGTGGGTGAGCCCCTCCCTACAACAACCTTTGGTCTAAGTTCTCATTTACCCATAAGATTTAATCAGCAGAGTATAATAATAAAAAGATCATTTGTCTGCTGGTTGAACACTAAACTGGAGAGGACTAGACTGGAGGTAGGAGACCACTCTGCAACTTGAATCTTGGATAAGGTTTTGGCAACTTGTATAGATGACAGAGTACGGGGTTAAAAAATCAAGCAGTCTGAAGGAGAAAGACCTAATGAGTGACTGGATGTGGTGGAGGAAAGAAGAAAGGTTAGGGTAATCCCCCAGCCGGAGGGGTCACATGAATGGTCTCGCCACAGGCGACAGGGAATGCTGGAGAAGAGGTTTGTGACAATTAGTGAAAACTAGTTAAATTTGGGGCACAAGTTCTAAATCATGGGATTAAAGTGATAATTTAACATTTGGCGGTAAATACGATCAACTAATTATAACCATCTGTTTATTTTACAGATATTTACCGGGTGCCTGTGTGTCAGGCATTGTTCCAAGTGCTTCTGATATGGTAAGGAACAACACAAAATCGCTTGCTTTCATAAAGAACTGATGAGCTCTAGGGGAGCAAGTTTGGGAGGGGGCATCCCAGACCCAAACCATACCACATTTTAAAGCAGGAGCAAAGCATACATTAAAAATGTACAAAACAACTTGCGTATTTTACGCACTGCCTTAGGCAACAATTTTCAAGCCTATGTCTCGAACTACATAAACTCATCTTAGAGTAACTAAATGCCTGAATTTGGGCCTATGATAAGGAAAATTAAACAAAACAGCTATCAAAAACACAGGTCTCCAAGGTGGCATTTCCATATTAGGAAATCTCTAGCTGTGACTGCATAATTTTACATAATCCATTAGCTTTAGAGCTGAAATAATTTTAGGAGCTCTATTTTCCTGGATAATGGATGATATTAGTATAGATAAGCTATGTGTTTTCACTATACTGAATAGTTCTCTCTTATAATGTTTTTTTTAGTCTTTTCAGTGGCCGTCGATACTATTATTATCTCCACTGATTTAGGACACGTTGCTTTTGGCCACACAGCCAAGTGTGGGAGCTGGTGGAAAGAAGTGAAGAAGACGCCACCTTACTTTTAGCTACTGAGATAACTGTCTTTCAAGCACACGCAGGGGACAGGTTGTCCAAGCGAACTGGTTTGAAAGCACAGCAGACATTTAGAATTCCAAAGGTCTTTTCTGAAGTGACCAGAGGCAGCGTCAAGAAGGTTATTATCATAACCTCTACTAGGAACATTAGAACCCACTCAATTAGGACACGAACCGAATAACTGTCCATTTTTCACTACCTTAGTGGCTTCAGTTGTAAAAGCAACCACAAACACACAAAAACAAAACAGAACAAAAATAAGAGGCTTGAGTGATCATTAGATTTCTTCCAGCTCTAAAACATTCCTATGCCATTTCATTTCTTCAGTTAGAAACTGCCTCCCCGCCTCATGTTTTAAAAAATATAACTACTCCTAGCAGTAGAGGCAGGAAAAGGGATAAGTAGTAATGAAAGAAGAGAAATCAAAAGGGAAAGAGAAATACATAGACACATACACCACAACTACACTCCCTGTGTTGTACTTCTTACATTATCAACTCTCTTTGCAATGGCCTGCTGAAAGTGTTTTTCCTTTTTTCTCTTTTTAACCTATGCTTGCCTGCCTCATATAACCTTGCCAACTTTTTTTTTTTTTTACACCTAGTAATGGAAAAACAAGAGCCATTAGCAAATTTCACCTACTTCTTGGTTTTGCTCCTAGCTTAGGACTATGGTGGACTGCTGGGCTTCCTTGTGGCCTTCGGAGTAGACAGCTAGGTTTGCTCAGGGCTCTTCCCTCCACCTGGCTTGGAATACCCCCACAAAACCGATGAGGTAAACTCCCCGACACTTACAGGGCCTCACACAGCAGCACTGTTGCTCTGTGCAAATGTCTGACCGTCCTCAGAGAGCTCAACTCTATTTCCACAGAAGCGGTCCCCAGTCAACTGGCCTCTCCCAAAGAACTCTCTAATGCTGCAGGACTGGAACCCAGGAGACGCGGTTCCTGACGCAGCCTGAGACTCAGGAAGCCTCACCAGGAATTCCCATAGTGCCTCCACACCATTAATGTGAGACAGGGCAGAATTCTTCCTGAGGAGTCATGGTTATAAGCGCAGACATGGCTCTCTGGGGGGCCCAGTGGAACCCAGCATGAAAGGAAGGAATTGGGGTTTTCTGAACACCTCTACGATGAATGCAGGCCCAACCAAGGGTTTGCAGGTAAAACTTTTCAACCCTGTCAGAGTTAGTTTTGTATTCATAACAGAAGCAAACACAACAAAAGCAAGCCCCAACTCAAATGCAATAAAGCAAATCACTTCTCTCTCCCAAATCTGTCCGACCCACCCTATAACAATTTCTAATTTCTTATGCAAACGATGCCTCATTTCTAATTTCAACAGCCTTTTACTCCATTCTGAGCGTAGGCTTCAGTGGCAGCAAATGTAAGCACGGGAGAATTTACCTCTGTATCAAGATCACTTGAAAACAGGGATCTGCAGATGAAAGCCCAGCGCCAAATCAAACCCGCTGGCAAATCAAACTGCACCGAGAACGATTCTTTCCCGCCCGGCTTTTTCCTGGCCGCACTTTGCAAAGGACAGGAGGCCTCTCCCGCTCAGTTTAGCGGGACGCCTGCTCCTCGAGGATCGCGCCGCAGGCGTCCCCAGACGGGCTGATGACGGCAGCCAGCACCCCTGGCAAACGGCAGTTCCCAGAGGAGGGGCTCTGCCCGCCTGGAGCCTGCGTCCCGCTGGCCCTGTCTCCGCTAGGGTCCTCAATTCCACGCTTGCGGCCTTGGGGCCGAGGCTCTGCCCCCAGACGTCACCCCGCCGTGCGCCCCCACAGCACAGAGCCCTGTCCTCACCTGCGTCTCCTGGTCCTCAGCCACCACAGCGATCACCGGAATGTGGCGGGGGCTGCTGGGCTTGCTCCTTCCGCGGGGGTCCTGGCCCTCGGCCATCGCCGCGGCCTCCCCAGTGGGCATGGCAGGCGGCGGGTAAAGGCTGCCACCGGACAGGGAAGGCAGCCTGAGAGCCGCGGGCGTCGCAAGGGGCCTGAGGGGTCTGGCTACCACCTTGGCCGCCGCCAAACAGCCCGCATAGCGCCGCCACAGCCCACCCAGCACGGAGGCTCCCGATCCCAGGGCGGTTGTCAGCACGCGCCGGCGTTGCTAGGGGCGGGGCCGGGGGCGGAGCCGCGGCTCAGAGTACGGAAGCCCGTAGAATCGAAGCTCAATCCGTCCCTCCAGGTTTGAGGTGTGAGGGGTGGGATTTCTAGGTGTGCCAAAGGGACGCGGTACAGATCGGACTGTGGCTCCCTAGGCACTGAAAGTGTTTCACTTTAAACCAGCATTCCGCCCATGAGCTTCGAGTTAATTTATTGAATCTAGTGCAAGTTAACCCTTTGAAACCTACTCATCTGTGAGAATGGTTCTGAGCAGTGAATGAACGAGATGGTGTTCGTTAAGTGGTACTTGGCACATAATAAACAACCAGAATGGTCAAGAGAATCACTGATCAATTATGATTATCTCTATTATTACTGTTATTGTATCCTGAATAGAATGCGAGGGTCCACATTTGAGTAAAAAGCTTCTCAGGGTGAAAATTAGTATAACTGCATAAATCCAAATACAACGGCCTTGATAACTTTAAAACAAAACCTTTACTCATTTTTTATTTTTGTCTTTTTGAGACAGGATCTCGCTATGCAGTTCAGGTTGGCCTCGAACTCTCAGTGACACTCCTGCCTCAGCCTCCCCAGTGCTGGGATTACAGGCATGCGCCACCACATCTGGCTACCTTTACCCTTTTTAATCATTTTATTTTATGTAGAAAAAATTTTTTGGTAACTTTCAGAGCTTTTTTCAAGATTTAAATGTATTTTGTATCTTCTCTGGAATGTATACACAACAATCCCAATAAAAAAATAAATAAATGTAATTTAATTTCTCTGGCCTTTCTCCTCACTGGTCATTGAGCCGATCAATGATTTCTAAGTTTCTTCCACCTCAAACACTGAATGACATTTCTGACCCTAAACAATGGAAGCGCTTGATGTAAACTGTAGCCAAGGAAACCAGGGCTCTTCAAAGGAGCAATGAGCACTTCCAATCCTTATTTCCATGCTGCATTCCTCCGCTTTCCTTATTGTTGGGCCTCTGAAAATCCTCAGAGGTTACCAACATCTGTTGAACACGTTTTTGTCCTCATCCCGCTGTACTTGTCTGTAGCAGTTTACATGTTGACTGCCTGCCTGTCTCGAAATTCCTTTGCCTAAGTTCCACATTATTTTTTGTTTTGTCTTTACAGCCACTCTTTGATGTCTTTAAAGCTATTCTTAAGCCTTGCACCGGGAAGCCAGTTCAGAAAGTCTAAGGTGGCTATCACTCAGGAGAGGAGGGTGCAAATGATCTGCCAACTGTTTTGTTCACATGTCTTTAATTGCTGTTGAAAGGCCCAAGTATAGCAATCAAAGAGACTGAAACCACTTGGATAAACTTGGTGAAGTCCTTTGAGATTGACACCCATACCAAACCCATGTGGTGGTGGAGAGCTAACAACTGGATGAGTTGCTTATTCTTTGTGTGGCTACACTGATGTCTCGGGATAAGAAAAGATAAAGAAAAAAAAAGACTACAAAGGATATGTTTCAGTATAAAGCAGAACTTGTCTGGAAACATCCAGTGACTGTTGTGTTTCAGCCATAGGCTGGAGCTGGTACTCACCCTTAAACATCAGTGATCCTGGAATAGAGTCTGACTGTATTCTTTGGACCTAACTTAAGACACTTTCCTGAATAATGGACAATGGGACAGTTTATATTAGCTCTGCACAGACCTATACATTTGGCCTGTCCTATATTGAGAGTGCCAGTTTTCAGTGCGTAATTAGCATTATTCAAGAATTCCCACTTAGAAACTTCTGACTTTTCCTTCTCAGTGAAAACAGTGAAATTCTTCATGGTCAGAATCCCTTACCTATAAAGTCAATAGACTTTGTAAAACAAATCTTTTTTTGCTCTGAGGGCACATGCTTTATTCATTGACAGGTGAGAAGGGAGGAGAATCGTAGTTCTAGAACATTCCATATTCAGTCGCTTGGGGTGAATTACTTGTACTTTCCCAAAGGTACCAAACTTCCTCTACCATTACTTTTGGATTCTGTTGTACCATCACCTCTTCATATCTGTGGGGGACTGGCTTTCCCTCTCCTTACTGAAACCTAAAGGTGTTCAAATCCCTTATGCAACATGGCATATTTGCAAATTATTTATGTAAATCCAGCATATGTTACTTCAGGTCTAGATTACTTTTAATACCTAGTATAGATAATTTCCATGTAAATGTTTATTGTAGCTATTATTTAGGGACTAGTGACAAGACAAAAAGTGTATCCATGTTCAGTACAGACTCAATTTTTTTCTGAAGGTTTTTGCTCCATGATTGGTTAGATATACTGCTATGCAACGTGATGGTGTAGAGATCAAACTACACATTCAGATGATGCCACTCTTCAGATGATTTAAGTACTTTTCTTGCTGCTCAGACAAACTACTGGACACCCAAAGTTAAATGAGGAAAGGTTTATTTGGCTCACCGTTTGTAGAGGTTTCAGTTCATAGGTGGCTGGCTCCAAGGCAGGGTGGCATGGCAGAGGGGCATTGCAGAGGAGAAACTGTCCGTGGCAGGCAGAAGATTGCAAAATCAGCACATTAGCAAGCAGCAAGTGACAAGCAGTGACCCTCTTTCTGTCCCTTATATCCTATCCAGGCTACCCACTTTTAGGGTGGGTAGCACTCACACCCAGGTTAAGGCAGGCTTAATTCTAGCATCACATTATGAATCAATCCCAGCATCAAACCCTTGGTACTTCAAGAAAAGTACCTAAGTTAAATTTGATGTTACCCAGTTTAAGATAAACATTCGAGTTTCTTCCAAATCAAAATGGGAGCACTGGTCTGAGTTCCTGCTTAGGTATTGCCTAGGAGTCCAACTTTCTGGATCTTCTGAGCTGCGCTGAGTGAAGAGGAATTGTCTTGGGCTGCATATAAAATATATTAATGTGTATAAGTACAAAACTTCTTTTATTTTTTAACACTTGAATATACAAGGGCAGGTAGCCCACAGGCTGGACTTGCTTCATCTAATGATTGTTAGAAGTACAGGATTTGAACCCTCATGGTGGAAGTACTGAAATCAGAATTTCCATTTTAACAATATAACACAAGGTAATCCACATACACCTCCAAATTTGAGAAGCACTCCTCTCATGTGTGTTTTCATTTTATTGTTTTAAAGTAATTTTAAGTCTCCATAAAACTGGCTTTCAGTAATAATTTCTTTTGTGAATTTTCCATGTCCTTTATTTCCTTATTTATGATAAGATTAGTTTTATTTATTCTTCTTGTTAAGCCCACCAAATGCAGGCTTTTAAAAAGCTTTCACAGCTTAAACTATGAACGTTTATTTAATTTTAATCATTATTCACTGACTCATTGTTTTTATGACACCAAAACATACAAGGATGAAAGAGTAAGATGACTATGTTTTTGGGAAAAAAATATTTATTTTATTGGTACATTATAGATATTCACAGTGATAACATTGATCATAGGGAATTCATAGCTGTACATGGTATATCTCCTTCTTCTTTTATTCCCATTCCTCTTATCTCCTTTCAACCTCTCTTCCCCTCTTTATTTACAAAAGCTTTGTGTTCATTTTTTCCTTTTTTTTCTTGTCCCTTTTTTCCTTTCCCCCTCCCCTTTCCCTTGCTCCTCTTCTCATTTGAACATTTTCTTCCCCTTTCCCAATATCTATTATATATTTTCATCTGTACTTACACTTTTGGTTTCTCACACCACAGAAATCATTCAATATATACAAGTGTGTCCAATTTATTTCACTTATAAGTATGGTCTCAAGGTGCATCTATTTAGCTAGAAATGTCTCAAACTTCTCCTTTTTTTATTTTAAAGAGTAAAAGAAGGATAACATAATAATGGGGGGGGCTTACCAAATTACAGACAAAGTGGTAGGAAATTATCAATGGTTATTGTTTTACATATAGTTATCTACAAGATAGTTTCTCAGGAAAACAAATAGACAA